AGCATGCTTAACATCTTGAAGAACTAACGTTGAACCATTATTAGTTTTCAAACAAACTGTGCCAACACCAAACACCTTAACTTCACTGGCATTTCCCATTTTTAACACTCCAGAATCAACATGAGTATAAGATGAGAAAAAGTCTTTTCTTGGTGTGACATGTGAGGTAGATCCAGAATCTACTATCCAGCTCGTCTTATGGGATACTAAATTGATGACATTTTCATCATAAGCAAAAAAAAGGTCATCTCGAACAATAGCAGCAACATTGTTCTCATTATTTTCAGCTTTCTTTCCTTCTCTATTGTCTTGATTCAACTTGCGGCAAAACCTTTTGATGTGTCCTTTATTGCCATAGTGGTTTCATGTAATATTATAGTATTTGGACCTTGACTTACTTCTACTTTTACCTCTATTCCTTGAGTCTCTTGTTCTATCTCTCCTCTGGTCTTCAGTAATCAAGATATTTGCTTGTGAGGACGAACCCTAAGATTTTCTCCTTACTTCCTCTTTCAACACACCACTCTTGGCATATTCCATGGTCAACTTACCTCCAAGAACTGAATTTGTCAAAGAAACACGAAGAGTTTCCCAAGAGTCTGACAGAGTATTAAGAAGCCAAAGTCCTTGCTCATCATCAAAATTAACTCCCATTCCAGATAGCTGACCAAGGACGCCCTGAAAATCATTTATGTGATGAAGGATATGGCTGCCTTCCTTATATTTAAAGGTCATCAATTGCTTTAGCAGAAACAATTTGTTGTTCCCGGTTTTTGAAGCATAAAGAGTCTCTAGCTTTTCCCACAATGATCTCGCATATATCTCGTTCACAATATGGTTGCGAACATTATCTTCAACCCATTGTCGTATATATCCATATACTTGTTGGTGCTCGAAATCCCAATCTTCATCGGATATACTCTCGGGTTTATGATCTGAAAAAATGGGTAGATGCATATTCTCCACGAACAACAAGCTTTCATCTTGCTTCTCCAAACATTATAATTTCTTCCATTTAAACATACTATCTTGCTCATATTCGCCTCCATTCCGTAACAACCCGGATAAATAACCAAGGCTCTGATACCACTTTTATGACAAGGAAGAGGCAAACCCGAAAATAAAAAAGATAAAGAACACTAAATTTTAACGTAGAAGACCCTTCAAATCGAAGGTAAAAACCATGGGATCACAAAGATCCAAAAATCTCCACTATAACAATAAGAAAGTTACAAGAGTTCTCTAAATTGGATACATAACAATTGCCAAACATGGAGCAACAATTGTAACAAGAGCAACAACTAATCAATTGAAGAAAGAGGAGAATCCACAAAAATAAAGCTACTGTTCGAGGCTCGAAATCAGATTCTACGTGCCTCCAAATTCGATCTCCACCGTTAAAATCTAAGACCAAGATGTTACAAACACTCAGTCAAAATTCCAGCCCAATCCAACGTTTAAAGAATCGGAAAGCGAGATTTGAATGTTGGCTGGTCAGAATAAAAATCTGCAGCAAAACAAATATTTTTCTTCTCTCTTCTCTCTTGACGAAAGCTCTCTCAAAAATCACTCTTATGTGCTTATGTATTTCAAAGACTTGTATCAATGAGCATAGAGTAATTCTCCAAGGTTGTCCTATTTATAGATCATGAGTGGTGCTTTCTCTTAAAGCCAAAACCCACTCAAAATAGGAATAAACCAAATCCAATTCCAAATAGGAATGGAAACCAAAAGATAATAGGATTAGGCATTGGGCCTTTGGCTGGACAATATGGGCATGAGCCCAACATGCCTATCGTAGGATGCCAGACTGATGGAGTCACATGCGTATTTATAGGTAGGCTAGGGAATCTTAGGCAAATATTTTAGCCCTAGGTACTTCTCCATAAATTATAATTACCCTAGGGACTCCTAATATATGGTAATTTCTTTCCATCAAAGACTCTACCATATATGCATAACTACAAATATTATCTGATATATTATTTTCTTTGGGAGACAATGTAAATAATTTATTACCTTATATGCGGTCCACACTAGAAGTCTCTAGAAGAGATGATAAATTTCTAACATTCTCCCATTTGGCCCACATATTAAAATTAGATAATCTTTTATGAGAGATAAACATATAATATGGCCATAGACTTTATCACTCAACTAAAAGTTATGCAACAATCACTTTCGCTAAAACATATCATCACATGAATCATCGCGGTCATGCTTTTAAACAAACACTTCCTTCCATGTATTACAATGCACAATATACTCTAACAAAGTGTCTAAGAACTTTACGAATGGATTTAATATAAGTCATTCAGAGTCCAACTTTATTGATCCAATGATCACAAATAATACATGAAAAAACAAAAGTGTGCACTGTCATGTATATCAAAACAAACATAATGTCTAGACAAATTGTTAGAGAGCAAAGCAAGACTAAATTGAGCTACTAAGACCCATATGGGTTACATGATCCTTGAAAATATTAGCCGTCAGACCTTTAGTCAAAGGATCGACAATCATCAAGTAGTACTAACATGCTCAAAATTCACATCTTGCGTCTCTAACCATCAAGTACTTTATGTCGATGTGCTTGCTTCGGCCACCACTTTATAGTTTTTAGAGAAGAACACTGCAGCTGAAGTGTCACATAAGATTCTCAATGACCTTGAAATGGAATCGACAATCCTAAGGCCGGAAATAAAGTTTTTCAACCATAACACCTGTGATGTCGCTTCATAGCATGCTATAAATTCAGCTTCCGTGGTGGATGTTGCAACAATGGTCTGTTTGACACTTCTCCAAGACACAACACCTCCAGTAAGGAGGAAAATGTATCCTGAAGTAGATTTACCAGTATTTTTGCATCCACCCAAATCAAAGTCTAAATATCCAATCACCTCCAATGAGTTATATGTGAGCTTAAAATCCTTGGTTCCTTGAAAATATCTCAAAACCCTTTTACCAGCTTTCCAATGATCAAGACCAGGGTTACTTTGATATCTGCCAAGCATTTCTACCGCAAAAGCAATATCAGGTCTAGTACAGACATGTGCATACATAAGGCTCCCAACAAGCGAAGCATAAGGAATATCTTTCATTTGCTCCTTTTCCAATGCATATTGTGGATATTGATTCAATGAGAATTTGTCACTTTTAATTATGGGTGATACTATAGATGAACAGTTCTTCATCTCGAATCTTCCCAAAATTATTTCAATGTAATCCTTTTGAGACAGTCCAAGTAATCTTTGGGATCTGTCTCTTTGAATATCTATGCCAGTGACATAAGAGGATTCACCCATATCCTTCATCTCAAAATTCTGGATAAGGAACTATTTAGTCTCGTGCAACAATCCTAAATCACTACTTGCAAGCAAAATATCATCCACATATAGGACTAGAAAAATATATTTGTTCCCACTTATCTTAAGGTATATACACTGATCAATGATGTTCTCCGTAAATCCAAATGAAGAAACAACATTATGAAATTTAATATACCATTGGCGGAAAGCCTACTTTAGCCCATAAATGGATTTATTCAACTTGCATACAAGGTGACTTTTGTCCTTATCACAAAATCCTTCAGGCTGACGCATATATACTCAAGATCTCCATTTAGGAAAGTTATTTTCACATCCATTTGATGTATCTCTAAATCGAAATAAGCTACTAATGCCATGATTATTCTTAATGAATCCTTCTTTGATACTGGAGAGAAGGTTTCATGGTAATCAATGCCTTCCCATTGTGTAAACCCTTGGCTACAAGTTTAGCTTTATAGCGTTCGATATTACCTGATGAGTCTCTTTTAGTTTTAAAGACCCACTTGGAACCTATGGTAGCGGATCCCTTTGGTAATTCGACGTGATCCCAAACTTTATTTTTAGCCATAGATTCTAACTCTTCTTTCATGGAATCATACCAAAGTGTGGAGATTTCTCAACTCATGGCTTGTGAAAACGATCATGGATCATCTTTTAGTCCAATATCGTAATCAGACTCTTGGAGATATACAACATAGTCGTTAGAAATTGCTGATTTTCGAATTCTTGAGGATTTTCTCACTCCCACTGGTTCAGACACTTCTTCAGTCGGTTCAGGTAAAGCAGGTTGATCTTCATGTGGCTCCTCAAGTGGTGGTGGCTCTTGAACTTGTTGTTGTTCAGATAATTCATGAGAATTTTTCTAAGCAACATTCAAGTTCCCAATATATAAAGGTACCACATGTGGTTCCCTTATTTTTTTCAATTATACCCTTTGAGTCAAACCACTCCCACTTTCTTCATGTTCCTCAAGAAATTTAGAATTTCTAGCCTCAACAATTTTAGGAGAATGAGAAGGACAATAAAACCTAAATCTCTTAGAGTTAACTGCATAGCCTGTAAAATAACCACTTATTGTTCTTTCATCCAACTTCTTTAGTTGTGGGTTATAAACACTCACTTTAGTTGGACATCCCCAAATGTGATAAATGGTTTAAGCTAGGTTTCCATCCTTTCCATAATTCAAAAGATGTCTTGAGGTGTCACGGCCCTAAACCACCCCGGTCGTGATAGCGCCTATCATAGTACTAGGCAAGGCAAACCAACATTTCCCACATCGAATTCTTTTCAATAAATTATTTTTCTAAAACCGATTAAGTCTCAAATCTTTCATATGTAATATAAAAATCAATAGAAATACGCGAAAAAATAGTACAAAATATACTAACACGGCCCGAATCGGGTGTCACTAGTCATGAGCCTCTAAATACAACCCAAACACTATCTGAATAATACAAAAAAGTGTAAAATAACAAAATATTAAGATAGGAAGGAGGAAGGCAAGGCTGCGAAGGCCGTGCAGCTACCTTGCCACTACAACAAATCTGGCCTAAGGACACATTAACTTTTGACAACGCTTAAAAAGTATTTCCAAAACTATATGTGGGAACACTTTTCAAGGGTGGCCTTTGCTGATAGCTTTTGGCAACACATTCTATGGCCACGCTTGCAAAGCATTTCTTTTAAATTGAAAGACAATGCAACTTAAGTGTTGCCACACATAAATTAATTAGCAACACTTATGCATTTATATTGTGACGCTTTTAGAGTGAGCTGTATTCATAATTCTAAAAGCAACACTTCACAAATTTGCGCTAAAGAAATTTAATAAAATTCCCCCTTCCTTTAAAATTTTCCGTGAAACATTTCCCCCCCATTTTGAAAGTGCAAACAATTTCCCTCCTAATGACATCAGTTCATTAGGTTTTCTGTTTTGCCCACCTTCGCCGTAATCTCCATAGACACTATTACCTCCTGTGCCGAATTTCCCTCCACCCTAAAATTTGCAGTGACGTCTCATTTTCTTTCTGAAATGTGCTCTTATATATGCCAATATTTGCTTAAGTGAAATTCAACAAGGAAAAAGAAAATTTCAACAGAGTTCAAATACAGATTTCATTCGGGTTTATTTTATAATACTAGTCTTAAGTTTAAATGTACTTGTGTTTAGATCTTAAACATTTCTATACTAGCTTTGCCTATTTGCCGAATTTCTTTTGGGATTGACCATTGCATATTACCTGTTTGATGGAATGTTTGTTTGACCTATCCTTACCATTGAAATCATTTTGGTTTTGAAGCCAATTAATGAAGTGAAATTTGTTGGATAAATAGTAAGAATTTGAAAGAATTAGTAGGAAGCATAAATTAAGTATCAAATATGGATGGACAGAAAGCAATAATGAGTGTTTAAAAAGGAATTGAAGCATTAAGAAGGTGTTTTCATGAGATGAAAATTTCTGGATCTATTTGGTTTACTTTTTCTTATATGCTTATATATTTTAATAACTTGTTAGTTTGTACGTACGGCACAATTTTCATGTTTGCCACATCTTGCTTCATTTCATAATACAACTATTATTATGTCCTTTTGTTGTCAAATTACTTTCTTCAGTGCTTTGTATGTTTTTATTTTGCATTTGAAGCATTATAGTGTTCCTTCCCAATTGTGGAGTTCAAAATGTCCGCCTAAGTTTTCTACTTAAGTTTGACATAAAGTTTTTGTAGCATAAACGTATAAATGCTTATGGCTTAATTGCATACATTGAGGCTTGGTAGTTGAAACTAAAATATTTTGTTATTTATATGGTTTGATAATTAAAAGATGTGCAAGAAGATATGGTACTTTTTCATGAAGCTTTATGAATTAGTGATAAAAATATGAGATAGTGATGAAGATATACTTCAATTACAATGAGATTTGGTTTTCTCTATTGTAAATGGTATTTAGTTATATGAAATTCTCTAGCCCATAAGGGGGAGGGATGACCTTCACTTGTATTTTCGTAGGAGAATAACTTTTTACGATTATACAATCTGGGCACAAATTCTTATTCTGACATTCTATTGTCTAGTAGTTAATTCTTGTTCTCTCTCTCTCTCATTATTAATTGTATAGCTTCTGAAGCTAAGACTGAGGCTCTAGTTTGATATTGAATAAACATGGCAATATTTGAGTTAGGTAGATCAATTTGGCATATCAATTGACACATACTATTTATTTTTTTATGCTAGCGCAATATTTAGTTCTAATGTTATTAAGACTTTAACTTTGTGGTTGAAATATCAAAGTTTAAATATATTATCCTACTTGTGACTGTATTGTATTTTGCATCAATTCAGTTCTTGCTTGCTTTAGTATAGGTTATACATGTGGACACTGCAGTGAACGGAGGATTCTTCATGTTCTCAAATAAGATCAACGTAGAGCAAAAACGAGGAAGGCAAAGAAAAAGGATAGAGGTACTTTAGAGGTATGTTAAGGCATTATGCACTGGCATGTTTGGTAGGTAAAGCTGGGTAAACTGACTTTTTAGCTATTAACTTCCTGCTCTCCTTAAAACTGTTGTAGGATGATTAGTTGATAGAAAATATACATCGACCAGGTAATCAAACTTTGAACGTGCCATCTTTGGAAATAAAATGTTCTGCAGTATATCGATTGTTGAGCATAATAATCAATTTGTCGTCTTTCTCCTTCATTCTTTATCTCTTAACATATGAATCTTGCATATTTCTACTATTGATTTGGTCTCTATTGTGTATTATCTCAGCTTAAGATCGTTCTTTGAGTTCAACTGAAGAGGTAAATTTGGATTTGTCTTCTTTGATTTACTATCTTATTTTCTGTTTGCTAGAGTGGAAAGTACACAAATACAAATCTTGTTGTTTGAGAATTAATTTTAGATATCTTGATATAAGTTATTTTCTAGTAACCCCAACAATTATGAATTTAAAGACGATGCCAAGCGAATAAAGGTATTCACTTCCCAACATATATATCTTTTTCACTCACTTTCAATCACACAAAACATTTTAAATGCCCTCGCTTCCCTTTGTTTAGCTCAACTTTTAAGTGAATAGAGATCTACATGATTATCTTTGTTATGATAGGAATTTAAAATATTGAGACCAATATTCCTTGAGGGTAAAATTGAGTTAGCAAATTATCTGATGAAAGTTTTTTAGTATCTCTCTATACAGATTGGAGGGTTAATGGAATAGAAATTGTGCCTACGCTTTTAATTTATTGCAAGATTCTAAGATATCAATGATAGCTAAGTGATTATAGTCACCTGTAAGAGGTAGTCACTAGTAGATTACATTTCTATCTCAAAAATTATTAATCGGATAACATACTGGACATACCAAATTCTAGCTAACAACATCCTTGATTTGGGTAAGGTATTTGTATTTAGTTATTTATAGATTAATTGAAAGTGAGCTGATTGAGTATATGCTATATGCTAAAGTTAATGTTCCTTTTGAAAAAGAAATCCACTAATCTAGTTTTTCCATCAGTATACAGAAATTAAACAAAAAGAAGCAACATAATCATACTATAGAGAGAATATAACTAGATGCCCGGATGCTAAAAAACAAATGAGGAAGGCCAATAAAGCATGATTTTTGTCCATAAGTTCTGTTACTCGAATCATTCGATTACATTTTCATCCCAGCACTACAACATATATAGATTTTCCTCTACTTTTGTCATTTGTTTAAATCATGTATATGTATGTCTCTAACTTATATGTGATAGTATTGTCCTGAGTCCCCAAGGGGCCAACTCTACCACACTGCTCTGAGTTTGCACTTTCATACTATGGATTTCTATCTAAGTACTAATTTTATTTTGTAGGAAAGTTCTGGTGGAGAATTAAAAATGATGCCAAAAAACTATTTGATCTATTGGAATTTAACGATGAAGACTTTGGACAATTACGATTTTTATAATTCCTGATACTACATTTGATTTTGTAAAGTTACAAGCATGAACCTTGAAATAATTTGCTTCATTGTATTACACAAGATTTAACCTTTTTTTGAAGTTCATTGTAAGTATATGCAATGGAATTATTCTTTTGTTATTTTTTTATATAATTGAGTGTTTGAGATCTTCGTACGTGATTATGGGATACATATGAAAATATATTTTATTGAAAATAAATTATTTCATAGCTTAGACACAATTGCCATACTTCAAATGTGTGGCCATACGGATTGGAAAATTTGTGGCTTATATACTAGTAAAAGCAACGCTTTCAAGTGTGATCTAAAGAGTAACAAAGGCCACATTTTTCATGTGTTGTTGTAGTGCCGAAAAGTGTTAGCACTGAGGGTACTACAAGCGTGGCCTTTATTAATTTTTAGCCACATTTTTCAAGTGTGGCTTCTAAAGCAACACTTAAAAAGCGTTCTCTTAGGGCAAAGTTTATGCTCATTTAGGCCACCCCTCAAAAAGCATTGCCTTATGTCCGAAAGTGTGGCCTTTAGTCAAATGTCACACTTTCTGATAGTTTACGCCACACTTTTCAGGTGTAGTTAAAGTCCTAAAATGTTGTAGTGTGCATTCTCCGGATACGACTCTGAGAGTGCTGGAAGCTCTCACTCTGGTGCTCGGGCATCTGGATCTACACACAAGGTGCAGGGAGTAACGTGAGTATGCCAACTCAGTAAGTAACTAAAGTAAATAAAGTTTGAGTGCAGTGACGAGCATTTAAAATCATATTGGAAATCTCAACAGAATATCAAGTCAAAATCTACAGTTCAATAGCTAGATGTCTCGTAAAACTCCAATTTCAATTAAAAATCCTTTGAAAATATTTATTAATATTTTTAGCAGAGGCTTAGTATAAAGGAAGAGTGAAAGCAACAAAATATCATAAACGCGCCCCTCGGGCAAGGTATCACTCGTAAGTATTGCCTCTTGGGCAAGCCTCTCAATCATTCATGACTCAGTTCTCATCGATCAGTACTCACATTCAGCACTCCCACTCAATACATATCTCATCATAATAATAGTAACCACTACGGCATGCAACCCGATCCATAGTTTATATTCGACTACGCTCACTAGGGGCGTGCAGACTCTAGAGGGGCTCCTACAACCCAAGTGCTATATCGCTGCGGCATGCAGCCCAATCCAATATATTGCTGAGCGTGCATCCCGATCCATATACATATAAATATCGCTACGGCGTCAGCCCGATCCATAACATATATAAATATAGCTGCGGCATGCAGCCCGATCTATAACATATATATAATCCTCACCATTAGGTCCTCAACCACTCTCAGTCATTAACCTCAAGGCCACTCGGGCATATCAGTGAAAATCAGGAAAACTCAGCCCAAACAGTTTCATATATTAAGAAATAGGGTAATGAAATCGAATTTAAACCGTAACAGGTAGAACATGACTGAGGATATGCCTTCAAATCAAAACAGTGTGAGTAAAGTAGTGAAAATACCCCTAAGAGTCTAAACAGGTCGACACAAAGGCCCCAAATATGGCATTCATCCCAAATTAACAAACCAATTTCAAAAACACGTGGATATCATATAAGGTATATAAAAATATGCAACTATACAGTTGCCATGGGATGGACCAAGTCACAATCCCTGTGGGTGCATGCCCACACGCCCGTCACCTAGCATGTGTGTCACTTCATTTATCAAAACAGTACAAAATTCTGGGGTTTCATACCCTCAGGTCAAGATTTACAATGGTTACTTACCTCAAACCGGATGAAATACTACTCCGCGACGACCTTGCCTCTAGACTCGCCCTCAACTCGCGTCGAATATATCCAAAATCAAATTATAACATCAATATATGCTAAGGGAACGAAGTCCATGCGAAAATAATCAAATTACATCAAGAATCTCGAAATTGGCCAAACCCGACCCCTGGGCCCACGTCTTGGATTCTGATAAAAATTACAAAACTAGAATCCTTACACTCTCACGAGTTCATACATACCAAATACATCAAAATCCGACAACAAAGGGCCCCTCAAATCCTCAAATCAAGGTCTCCAAGTTCAAGCCATAACTCCCCAATTTTAGGACTTAAATTCCATTAATTTCATATTTAATTGGGTAAAAATCATCATGGAATCAAGTATTCAGTTCAAAAATCTTACCTCCAAGTGTTTTCCTTCGATTCCCTCTTCAATCCCTCTCAAAAATCTCCAAAACCGGTCAACAATGGTGGAAATAGACCAAAAATCGTGAGGGCAACTATTTAAATATGTTGCCCAGGTGTGATTTCCTTATTCGCGAACGCGGTCAAAGCCTCGCGTTTGCGAAGCACAAAAATTCCATTGACCAAAATCCTCTATCAAAAACACGAGTCCTATCTCAGGAACACGGAGCTTCAGCTGTCCAGACCATCGCGAATGCAACACACCAACGCGAAGAACAAACTACCAGGGCCCCCAACTACTCCAATTACTCTACGCGAACACGGGACCTACATCGCGTTCGTGATGCACACTCAGCCCAACCCTTCACGGACGCAGGACCAACATCGCGAACGCGAAGGGCAATTCTCATGCCTCACTTCACATCCCTTCGCGAACACGAGAGCCCTCTCGCAAACGCAAAAGCCAAACCTCTACAACACATAACTGAAGAAATCTGCAACTTTCAAAAACAAGAATTTGATCGGTTTAACCACCCGAAACTGATCCGAGGCCCTCGAGACCTCAAACAAACATGCCAAAAAATCCCATAGCATCATTCAAACTTGTTCCAACCTTCGGAACGTCCAAAACAACATCAAATCATCATCGGATTCAAGCCTAAGAAATTCCAAAACTCCCAAATTCCGCTTTCGATCAAAAGGTTTATCAAAATTCATCCGAATGACCTGAAATTTTGCACACACGTCCCAAATGACACAACGGACCTACTCCAATTTTTTAAATTCCATTCTAACCCCTATATAAAAATTTTCATTACCAACCGGTAAACGCCACAATTCCAATTTCGCCAATTCAAGCCTAAATCTACCCCAAACCTCCAAAACCCATTCTGATCACGCTCCTAAGTCCCAAATCACCTAACGAAGCTATTCGAACCATCGGAAGTCACATCCAAGACCTTTTTCACATAAGTCAACATCCGGTTGACTTTTCCAACTCAAGCTTACTCAAAAGAGACTAAGTGTGTCATTTCTCTACACAACCACTCCAAACCTAAACTAACCAATACGATACCACATAATACAGCTAAACAAGACATAAAGAAGCAAAAATGGGAGGAAATAGAGCGGTAACTCATGAAACGATCGGCCGGGTCGTTACATCCTCCCCCTCTTAAACAAACATTCGTCCTCGAACGAGTCAAGGAACATACCTGAAGCCTCAAATAGGTGAGGGTATTTGCTCTGCATCTCTCGTTCGGTCTCCCAGGTAGCCTCCTCCACGAGCCGACCTCTCCACTGCACTTTCACTGAAGCTATTTCCTTTGATCTCAACTTTCGGACTTACCACTCCAAAAAAGCTACTGGCTCCACATCATATGTAAAATCATTATCTAACTGAACCGTGCTGAAATCCAAAACATGAGATGGATCTCCAATATATTTCCGGAGCATAGAAACATGAAATATTGGATGTACACTCGACAAGCTGGGTGACAAAGCAAGCTCATAAGCCACCTCCCCAATCCTCCGAAGCACCTCAAAAGGCCCAATGAACTGAGGACTCAATTTACCCTTCTTCCCAAATCTCATAAGACCCTTCATTGGTGAAATCTTCAGTAGAACCTTCTCCCAACCATGAAGGACACATCATGAACCTTTCTGTCAGCATAACTCTGTTGTCTTGACTGCGCAGCCGCTCCTGGATCACCTTCACCTTGTCCAAAGCACCCTGCACCAAGTCTGTACCCAAAAGCATAGCCTCACCCAGCTCATACCAACCAATTGGAGATCTACACCGTCTCCTATACAAAGCCTCATATGGAGCCATCTGAATACTCGATTGGTAACTATTGTTATAAGAAAACTCCTCGAGCGGTAGAAACTGATCCCATGACCCTCCAAAATCAATGACACAAGTGCGTAACATGTCCTCCAATATCTGAATAGTTCGCTCGGACTGCCCATCCATTTGAAGGTAAAAAGCTGTGCTCAACTCAACCTGAGTACCCAACACTCGCTGCACGACCCTTCAAAACTGTGAAGTAGACTGAGTACCTCTATCTGAAATGATGGAAACGGGGACGCCATGCAAACGAACAATCTCCCGGATATAAATCTCTGCCAATCGCTCTGAAGAATAGGTAGTACACAGGAATGAAGTGCGCGGACTTGGTCAACCGATCCACAATCACCCAAATAGCATCGAACTTCTTCAAAGCCCGTGGGAGCCCAACTACAAAGTCCATGGTGATCAGCTCCCACCTCCACTCTGGAATATCTATCTGCTGAAGCAAGCCACGCGGTCTTTGATGCTCATATTTCACCTGCTGACAATTGAGACACCGAGCTACAAATCTCACAATATCCTTCTTCATCCTCCTCCACCAATAGTGCTGCCTCAAATCCTGGTACATCTTTGCGGTACTCAAATGGATGCAATGCCGCGAGCTATGGGCCTCCTCTAGAATCAACTCCCGAAGCCCATCTACATTGGGCACACATATCCGACCCTGCATCCTCAATACCTTGTCGTCACTAATAGTCACATCTCTGGTGCTGAACCCTATCCTTAAGGACAAGCAAATGAGGATCATCATACTGGCGCTCTCTGATGCGATCAAATAAGGAAGACCGAGAAATCACACAAGCCAATACCCGATTAGGCTCCGAAATATCCAACCTCACGAACTGATTGGCCAAGGCCTGAACATCAACTGCAAGAGGTCTCTCCCCAACAGGAATATACGCCAAACTCCCCATACTCACCGCCTTCCTACTTAAAGCATCAGCCACTACATTGGCCTTTTCGGGATGGTACAAGATCGTAATATCATAATACTTTAGCAGCTCCAACCATCTCCGCTGCCTCAAATTGAGATCCTTCTACCTAAACAAGTGTTGGAGGCTACAATAATCAGTAAACACTTCATAAGACAC